GACGACGTGGTGAAGACCGCCCATCACCCTGCCGCTGCTGGCTACTGTTCGACCTGGCGTACGCCTTTCTCCGAATAACGAGCTGGGATACAGAGAAATTAGCGAGAAAGAGAGGGGAGGGGAGTACACTTTACTAAAAAGATAGATGTCTTACGTACGACAGTGTTATATGTGTGATAAATGTAATGTGTGAATATTTTTGGAAAAACAATTTTTAACTATTTTGCCCACATAAAGATATGTTGCAAGCAGTGTGCAAGCAATACAATTTTTTCGCGCAAGACATGTGGTAAAAATACGAGGTATACCAGAGACAGATTTATTGCAGTCTACACTGTTTGGCTCTCAACCCTCTGACATCACAGATGTCAGAAAAATATGAATGCACAAACAAAATCTTGCTTTATTTTCTGTACCAAGGATACTAAAAAGGGTGGCTTCAGCCCTAATTTTGTCAGCAGTATACCGTCACAGGGTGGCCCATCGGCGCCGTTCTTTCTTTTCTAGTCATACTGTACCGGATGCAAGCGTGCGGACGGGTTGCATACCCGCACGGGGCCGTCACCTCGGTGAGTGACGGTGCGCAAGCCCGGACGGGCACGCCTACACCCGGACTCGGAGACCAGATGAAAAGAAAGGCGCCGATCGGTCACCCTGAAGTATACGGATGGGGGTGAGAAGCATGTGCACTACGAACATGAAACAATAACCGGGATGATAAATAGCTTTGGCTAGTGTTTCGTACATGAGTTCACTAACTACCGAGTAGTTTTTCTTTGCAGTGCAGGCACTTCAGTGTTGAGGAACTGTTCATTCGCTGGGGCCGTAGGGCGCCATACGGGCTGGGAAACCCGCGACTACAACCCTAAAACCGAAGCGCACAATATGCAAATAAATAAATGGTATAAGCCGGTGACGCTGGTACGCGCCTACCGCCTCTGCTGCTGGCAGTGTACGGCACTACTGGTGGTGGCAGACAAGTGCCTCCAATACCCTCCCGAAGCCTTTATCGGTCCCACCGTATACAGGTGTCCCCGTCTCGGTCCCCGGGCCGGGGCCGTGATGGTGCCTCGGCCCGGCACACGGCCCAGCTACACTAGCCGCGACAGCCCCCCGCGCGCCCCGCCCGGCCAGGTCTGTGACCAGCCGGGGCCATTCAATAGTGTAATGCGGGCCTTATGAGGTAATCTGGGCGGCCGTATCCAACGCCATTCCCTGCGCGTCCCCCTGGGCGCGTCTCGCCCGGGACCTGATCAGAGGAGCATCCCGAAGGAGGGTACCGGAGGGTACCGCACCCGACACATAAAGATGCGAGCCCCGATAACAAAGTACCAGTAAGGGGGATATTTACGACGTGGTCTAGGACCGGGGCCAGGCCGAGCAGGGCCGAGCAGGGCCCAGCAGGGCCGAGGAGCCGCCAAAAGCGCCACAGAGACGGGAGAGCGGCCCGCTGTCACCCGGCCCCTGTCGCACTTGTAGTGCTGGACGCCACTGGTCGTCGTGGTCGTCGTGGGGGACGCTTCCACTCCGTTCCCCACGCAAGGAAAACGTTTTTCTCACGAACACCTCATTGTGACCTCTGAGGTCACCAGTGCAAGAATCGTGACCTCGTAGGTCACAATGAGGTCTACATGAGAACCGAAACGACGCGTGTCCGACTAGACAAGAGGGCTCTCCTACCGCCGTGAATCTACAGCACTAGAAGGTGTTCAACTCAAGTGTTGCGACACTTGAACCCTCCACTTTCGTTTGACGCACTTGTGCAAGCTGCAAAGCGTGTCTTTTTAGGAATAATTCAACGGCTTGAGGAAGACGAGGGTGTGTCGGAGAAGGTGCGGACCTTCACATAGTTTGCCGGGAGATTGAAGGACATGAACAGAGTTTTGCGAAGCACCGGCAAAGTAAAAATGCAAAAGATGGATGAGTTTGCAAAACCGTAGAGGAAACTGACCATCCCATCGTTCTTACTGCCGCAGATACACGAGATACGCTCACACACATAGAAGCAGTGATGATGACTTCCAGACGGGAAATGAACCAACCCTTATCTTTCTTTATCGCACCCGGTCTTTAGCACGCTTTTCTCTGTCTCTGTCCCTCGAAATATTTTCCCGCACAAACAGAACAACTTTGCACTTCCTCTACCCAACTGTTAGGCTGATTAACCACCGCAAGTTTGGTGGCTATACTGTAGCGCACGTATGCGGTACAGCAAAACAGAGTGCGCGGGGTTCATCAGCCATACCGATGCAATGTAACGTTCCTTCGCGATACGCTGTAAAGTTTTCAGAAAAGGCCGGTAGGGGCGCATCCGATATGACAGAATGAGAGAAGGGTGAAGGAGGCGAAAACATTTCAGAAACTTTTGTCGACGCGCGAGTCAGCAGCACCTCAGTGTCGCCTTTCGGCTGCAGCGAGCCTCGTCGTCAGGTGACACGGGAAACCGCAGGCGGGCGGCCGCTGGGCGGGGGCAGTGCGCCGCGCCGCGGGCCGGGCCACCGCCGGGCCCCCTGGCCGGGCCGGCCACCTCGCGCCCCCCCACGACCACTGCAAGGCCGGCCGGCCGGTGAGGCACGCACGACACCGATCTCCTCCTCCAAATCACGGAGCGGGCGCGCGCCAAACACCTCTCTGGGCTGGGCAGCGTCCAGGGGTCGTAAAACACGGCGCGGGGCAGACACACATGACTCTCGACGGTCATAACACATTGGTGGCTCCCAGCGGCTACCGTCTCTTCATCCATGACCCCCCCCCCCCCCCATCCTTTTGAGGGGTTTTCTTTAACTTCGATCGCGTCTTGTCATAGCAAGCGCGGTAAGGTCCGGGGGGGGGTGCACCATGGGTTGCCTACTTACAGTATAGGTGTAAATTGCCAACCTTACAGGCAGCTCACTAGAGTCGTTAGTCCCCCATCCCCTAATACCATGCCTATATCATTGAGTCAGAGACACCGCGACGTTCCTTTGCAGACAAATGTGAATGTGCAGGAGGAGCGGATTGCAAAACGGCTTTGAATTTTTTGTCCGCTCAGGTCGACACCATTGGAAGAATTCGGGCACACTCCAACTCCTTTCGCGCCCGAAGCGAGGCTTCTGCTGCTTCGACTCGACGCCAACTTGGCGAAAAGCGTGAGACTTTTGATCGCGGCTTGATGCGCAACCCGAGACTGGGATCAGGTGTC